TGACAAGTGGACAGACATATGGACGGACGGATGGATAGATCGATGGACGCTCGAAGAGATGGATGGACGCATGGACGCATGGATAGACGGAACCACGGACGCACACACGCACGGATGAACCGAAGCATGGACGGACAGACGGATGCACGTGCGCAAGCATACATGCACGCACGGACGCATTCATGCTTCACCACACCCATCATTCACTCCATGGATATCCTGTGAATTTTTTTCTGGATGGATTCGTTGCGTTTTATATCACCACCAATTTTGTAGGGGAACCATAAAATGGCGTCATACTCAAGGATTAGTCCTTCAAATGTTTTGTTTGTTAGCAGTTTTGTTTCTTTTGGGGCTAAACGGGATGAATGGTTAAGATATCCGAGTTTTTCAGTGTTGTTGCATGTTATGTTGATGTGAACAGTGCATGATAAGGTCGCGAAGAAAAAGAAGGCAGAAGTATTAATATTGTGGCACCCGCTCTAGTACATACTTGTTGAACGAATAATAAAACATTTATGGGGTTTTCTGCCTACCATGAGACATGGCAGCTGTCTTGAAAATTAATATTGATATTCCAATTTTCACCCCGTTTTCAGAAACCGAAGAATGAAGTACTGACTGTATGATCATGTTCATGTGAAATAGTTTCGAAATACAAAACACAATCATGAGCGTAAAGATGAATTTTAGATGAAAATACGCTTGTACCTCGTTAACGTATACAATCGGGAAAGTAAGGGCCCTGGCACGGCTCTCTGGGGCACTGCGAAAGATACGTGTATTTTGATCGGACGAATGCAAAGTGTTCAAAGATACGAATCGTTGACGATTTGAAAAAAAAAAAACTACTGATCCAATAAACAAGCAGCTGAATATTTAGCAAAAGATTGAGCTTATATAGCAGTTTTGAATAAATGTGAGGGTCCAATGCTTGAGAAACTTTAATGAATAATGCATCCGCTTGAAGGACTAAGTCAAGAGCTAAAGATATGTCATGTGTGAATTCTGCCAGCTGAGTCCTGGTACTGAATGCACGCAGGAAACCATGTTGTGTACTGGAGAGGATGCTGTTAGAATCCAGAAAATAGATGTGTTTAAAATAGGTTCTAGTACATTGCAAGAGTGAGGTGTTAGTGATATAGGCTAAATGTAAAAGTTTCCGCCCTCTTAAAAAGTGTTATTTTTTTGTCAGGATGCAGTATATACAGCATGTATAAAATGCAAAGGTTTTCGCTCAGGGGTGTATACTGAATTTTTTGCCGGGGAAGGATACTTCCGTGACTTGAGGGGGGGGGGGGGGAGGATACCTCCTTGAATTGGTACTTTTTCGCTTTCTATGCCATGGCGAAAAAATTTTTTTTGGGGGGGGGGCGGGAGGGGTATGGGGCTGGTGTGCCATCCCCTGGCTGCCCGCCCTCTTGAGCTGCATTTTTACGACAACAGTGCACACACTACATGTGTGTAAGACAATGCACGCACCAATGCGAGTGCACTTTGTAATGGACGGCTTGCTTTAAACTAGCAGCAGTTACACGCTTGATACTCTATCGAAGTTGCGATGCATTTACTACGTGCCCATAGAGAGAGAGAGAGAGTGAGAATTTATTAGAAGGCAGAGAGGTCGGCCTGAGCTAGTGCGCTCTAGCCAGCAACTCTACACAAGGGATAAGAGAAAGGGGAAGGAAAGAGGGATGGAGGGTGATGATGGGGACAAGAGGTGGTGCGTATGTACAGCAGCAACTTAGCATAGTACCCCACAGTCTAGTTTCAAGTCCAGAGCTTTTTATAAGGTCTAGAACAGCCTTTGTAGCAGTTTTTGACACTGTTTGGTCGTTCATTGCTGACAATATGTGGCTTTCACTTAATGGTGTTCGTCCGTTGCTTGCCAACGTTGCAGTTAGCATTTTTCTTTGCACCACGTATAATGCACAGTCACAAAATATGAGAGCTATCGTTTCGCGCACTTGGCAGCATTCACAATTGGGGCTGTCCGCACGGCCGATTAGGTGGGTGTAGTGGCGAGTGAAGGCGACGCCCAGGCGAATTCGGTGCAGTATATAAGCATGTCTTCGGCTAATTTTATCTGGAAGACGAAAAGTCACACCGGGGTCTGTTTCCCGCAGGCGCTTGTTCCGGTGATCTGGTAGCGACCAGTAAGTGGAAGCCCATTCGCGCATGAGTGATCTCAACATTGTGTTGACGTCACTTCGCGAATACGGTACTTTGACGTACACAGGAGCGTTGTATACTGCCGCTCTTGCTTCGCTATCGGCTGTTTCGTTGCCAACCAGGCCGCAGTGTCCAGGAATCCATTGGAGTGTAATCAAGTGACCGCTCTTGTGTGTTAGGTCAAATGCTTGGACGATTCCTAGCGCTAACTCGTAAAATTGGCCTAACATTTAATATGCGCAGTAATGTTATGTCTGTGCATCATTGGTGGCCGGCTTTAAACCGCCAATTCATTACACGATTCACGCGATCTGACGCCCGATGACAGTGATACGCTTGTACCACTGTTTAGTCAACCGTGATATTACATCCCGTGCTTTGAAGCGTGTTCACAAGACGTGTTTGTTTGTGGAGCCTAATCTTCAGTGCACCTCCATTAGTTGGCGTGGCTCTGTAGTAGAACACCTAGTTGCCACACCGATGATCTGGGTTCTATGTCCCCTAGAAGGCGCCGTTCCTTATTATTTGCGTTAATGGAGATTTTTCTGTCACGGACAATGATGTTTTTTCGCTCACAGCAAACGATGTCGCATCGACACTGGAATTTCCGGGGCATGGTCTCTCCAACCCCATTGCGTCAACATTGCGCTCCGACACTTGCCAGGATCAGTCAGTCGGTCAGTGAAATTATGTGCAATTAACTGAACATGAAAATGACTGTTTTCTAGTCGGCTTTCACCAGGATCACTTGGATTGGATCAGCGTGCCATACTTTACTTGTCAACGAAGGGTAATATAGAACTACACTAGCCCGTGTGGTCCTAAGGAAATTAGTTAAAAAAAAAGAAAGAGCGGCTGTCCGGGGGATTATGAATTATTTTATCTATACCGCAAAACTTATCTCGGTTACTTTTAACGCGATAGCGTTAAAGAATTTGTTTAGCAGAAATCTGGTGCCGGCGTCAGCGTTGTTGGTTGTGAGCAAAAAAATTTTCGTCCCTGACCAATAAACCGAGAAAGATGCAACCTAAATAGTTTAAAAAATATGCAGGTGTGAGTGACGATCGAACTTGCGCTGTCTGCGTGGAAAGCTGCAAGTGTTGTACCACAGTGCCATGATATTTCGTGGCACTTCTTTGAAAAAAAAACTATATCAATGCTGTACAGTCGACGGAGTCTCCTTAATGCAAGCAATATGGAAGCACAGGACCACGTCATGCGTCAAACCATTTGTATTTCTTGACGAGAGGGTGTCTTAAAGGCCAGTTCATTGCAAAGTATTCGACATATTCAATGATCATCAACAAACGCATCATCAAAGTGTAGGGCTCTCTAGGTTTGCTTGTTGCCTTACGAACGCATGTGGGCCCTCATTGATTTTCTAAAGAAAGAATCCTAGCGCAGTGGACCCCTTAATAACTGTACTTGTAGTATGGATTCTAGGAATGCTCTAAAAGGCAAATGTTACGCGCAAAGACGTTCGCTTATTTGCGGCATGGTTCAGGCATGCACCAACAACCGAAACCAGGCTAGCAATTGAGAAGGCGATGTGCACGATGTCTGATAACGCTGTCGCGTTCCACTCTTGAAGGCAAAGAAGAAGAAGTGGGAGGCTCGCAGCGAGGTCGTGGTTTTACCTTGCGTTGATGTTTCACCAGAAATAGGGAAAGAAACATTTAGAAATTTCAGTTAGAGAATTAAGCGTTACATTTTTTTTTCTCTTGGGGCTTCTTTGGGCCACAACAACAGGAAAGTCTGCATAGCAGTCTGTGAATTCCTTAGAGACACGAGATTTTTTCGTTAGGTTATCCCTACTAGAAATCTAGTTCTTTGAAACTCAGTTATTATTTCTATTACAGTTCTGCATCTACTCTAATCATACGTGACTTTAGGATTGTTAAACTTTATATTCCGTAGATATCTCTTTTATTTGTTTTCCTCAGTTGAATTTGAAATGATTTGATCCTCAATATAATAATCCCCGGTTTACTGGACAATCCCCTGTAGTGGGTACGAGCCAAACAGTAACAAGCAAGCAAACAAGCAAGCAAGTGTTGCTATAGAGCAATGCGTAAAGTATCGAGAAAATTCACGTTATACTCAGACAATCCCCTCTATATGGTACGAGCCATGTTTAGAGGAAAACAACAACTTATCTTGCTCTCACATTTGGTCACTAAGGTATTAATAACAGATAACAGGTATTGGTAACCGAGTTTAACAGAGTTTAAGTGCATAGTCTGAACTTGGACGTATATTGAACAAAGCATGTTCATATAATAGAAAGTGACTACGTGAGCGGTATATATGGAAAAAAGTATCAGTTGGTTTGTTTGTAAAACTGAAAAAATAGAAGTTAAGGTTTGCAATGCCTATTGTTGAACCGAGCTCCTTGTGGCAAAGCTTCACAGAATGATAGCTGACGCAAGCCTCTCGGCTTTTGGTAGCTCGATCCACGTCTGCTATTTCCCGGGTTAGCTGCATCATACGCCTAACAAGACTTCCTTTTTGTATAACAGGGAATGCCACTTACTGCGTACAATGCGCGGCCATATGCGGCATGCAATATATTTTGATAGAGGCTGTTCTCTTGAGTTCACGTTACGGAGTGGCCCGAGTTGCCAACCTTGCCACTGCTAAATAGAATAATGTAAATGGCGACGTAAGTGCATTCGACAAACTTTGTGCGACGATTTCAGGTGTAGTAAGAGTGTTTGCTGCTAATGCGTGATAAAATATGATCACGCCTATTTTGCTCTTCACCACTTTTTTGTTGTGGGTGCTCGCCACTGTACAGGTGTCATCATGATCATGAATAAGCAGCGGTGATGTCAGACAAGACGGATTCGTTCAAGCCCAGTCTCGGCGAAATGAGCGACGACCAGAGGGATGTGTACATAGCCTTAAGTAGCTATCTGCAGCAAGGCGACTTGCTGTACGATGACAGTTCATCGGAGAGCTGGGTGAGCGACGAAACGACCCCGCAGACATCGGAGTACAGTGACGCGACTGACATGGACGATGACAAAGGGCAGTGCGAGATGCTCAATTCCACGGACACGGCCGCGGAGACCACGATTGACAGATTAGTAGAATGTGTAGATTCGTTCCTCACGTCCGAAGATGAAGAATCCGAAGAGGATGATGCGCTGGAAGAAAACGTCGTCGAGGATCGTCCCCAGGAAACGAGAAACGTTGCGAAAGGGTTGCCGCGTTATCTTCGGGGACTAATGGGTGAGGCGAACATGTGCTTCGCTCGGGGCCGTTACGAGGACGCTGTCAAGATGTGCCTCGAGATTGTCCGGCTTGCGCCCACTTCGCCGCTTCCCTTCCAGACGCTCGCCATGATCTACGAGGAGCTACGAGATCCGAATCGATCGTTGCAGTTCGGCTTGATCGCGGCCTACTTGGGTACGCAGGACGCCTCCGAGTGGAGCCGGTTGGCGCAGCTTTGCCTGGAGCAGGGTCTCCTCCATAAAGCAACTTTGTGTCTGATTAGGGCTCTTAGGGTTGATCCGCACGACTTGGAAATGCGGCGCTTACTGTGTACGCTGTACGAGCAGCTGGGGGACGAACATCGAGCGCTGGTTTCATGCGCAGTCCTTGCACGTCGAATAGAGGAACCTGACGATTGCCTGCTGCTGTCGCGACGCCTTGTGGATGTCTTCCGCAGTCGTCAAAACCTGCCTTCGGCTGTGCGAGTTCTCCTGGATGCCGCCACTAAGTTTCCCGCGCACATCACAGCTGAAGACATCCACACGCTGCTGGAGATGCAACTGACGCTGAAAATGCACTCGGCTGCCCTGCTAGTGCTTCACGATCATTGCGGAGTTCAGCTGCTGCCGCTGCCGGAGGGGCACAAAACAATAACCGCAGAACTACTTGAAGACTCTCTCGACGCCTTTGAGAGATGCCTGGTGCCTGCTGAGCTTTGCATTGACATAAAGACGAAGCTTGTGGTTTGTCTAATACACCTGGGGGCCCGGCATCTTGTTATAGATCTTGTGAGAGAAATGAAGCGTGAGCTGGACCCCGAAAAGTCTGGCGATTTTTTGCTGAATGTGGCTGAAGCCTTCATGGAAGCGGAATTCGAGAACGATGCACTACCGCTGCTACGAATGCTTGTGCGCACTTGCAACTATGGGACGGCGGCCGTTTGGCTCCTATACGCGGAATGTCTGAAGCGACTCGGCCGCCACCAAGAGGCTACAAAGGCGTACGAACGCACGTGCGAGCTGGCACCACGCCACGCACCGTCCCGCCTCTCCCTGGGCCAGCTGTTAGACGCGCAGGGGCTTCGGGACCAGGCCATCGACTGTCTCGCCACCGATTCCCGACTGCTGCAGGACACCAAGGACAGCACACCAGAGCAGCAGCAGGATTCGGCGTCCGTGCTGCTTTGTCAGGCGCGGCTATTGTGGGATTCCGGACAGCGCGAGGCTTTTATTGAGTCGGCCATGACGCTGGTGCGGGCACACTGTTTGTCTGTCTGTTCGGCAGAAGAATACGGCGCGGTGTACTCAAATACGTATCACTTGAGTCGCATGAAGGTACTACGTGAACTGCATGAGAAACGCGGCTTCACACCGGGCTGGCTCACAATGGAGAGTGGTGTATCTGTCGACGAACTGCAGGCATGTTTCCTCGAGCTCTACCGAGCACTGCAAGAGACCGGCCGCATGGACGACCTGAGGCAAGTCGTGACGGAAGTTCTCGTCGCGCCCATGTTCAACAAAGACGCAACGAGCACTCAGGAACTGGAGTTCTTGAGCTTTCTAGCCCATTACCAGGACCCGGACCACGTAGAGCACAGCTTTGCCATCATCCGTGCTATGGTGCTCAAGTATCCGAACCAAGCACGTGCGTGGAATTTGCTGGGTCTCGTGGCCAACCAAATACCGGCGTGGCGTAAGAAGGGATTCTACCTCCGGCTATTATACAAGCACGAGAATAGCCTGCCACTCGGCGTGCTCGTCGCTCACAACGCTTTTCTCTGTGCGAACTACAAGCACGCTCTCGCAGAGTACACGCAACTTCTTCACCATGTCGGAAAGGAAGAGCCAATGCTGCTGCTGTGCTCAGGCATAAGCCTAATGCGTATGGCGGGACAACAGTTGACACTAAACCAAAATTGTCCAGGGAGCCAAAAGTCTGCAGGGGTTCAAAAGTCTCCAAGGAAGTTTTACTGGCTGGCCACTCAAGGGATGGCCTTTTTGTGCCGCTATTTGCGTGCTCGAGGCAGTGATTGTCAGGAGGCCCTTTTTAACGTAGGCCGCGCTCTTCACGAGCTGGGCTACCCGCACATGGCTGTCAACATGTATCAACGGGCACTCGCTGCACCACCGGCTGTGCAGGAGATGCCAGAGGTATTTGACCTGCGACGGGAGATAGCTTTCAACCTCAGCCTGCTGTACCAGCGCGGAGGCAACAACGAATTGTCCGATTGGTGCATCAACCACTACTGCGTCATTTGAATAGGAGATCGTCGTAATTGGTTCAATTTTCAAATTTTGTGCAGTCTCCACGTAACCACATTCCGCAATCGTTATCAAAGTACACTATTACCGTTGGTCATGGTTTGAGACTGCCAACTCACGCAGAAGGAGGACAGGCGAACTCTCAGTCGCTGTTAAGAGTACGCCTTTTGCAGCTTCGGTTCAGAAGCTTTAGCCGAAGCGCTCATTCTCAAAATGAGCTTCGGCCAACTTTCAGTGCGTAGGTTGCAGTTTCGTGGCTCAAGCAATTTGTTTAATTTGGAGATACGTATATTCATGGCAAATGAGACCAATCACTTTTGCGTTCAGTAAACCACTGAATATGCACGGATGTCTTGCTTATGCTTCCGAAACTTCATTTTACGTATCTTGGTCTCAAGCTTTGACGCTAAATGCGTTGTGTCTTCCTTCGAGTGGTGAAGCTTGACAAATGTGTTACGCCTCTGACGTGATCCTATTGGCGTCTCTTTATAAGGAATAAGTTATAATTTGCATATTGTTTATTACACCAATCGCGCATGAGGTGCAATTTTACGTCGTGATAACAGAGCTGAATGGCCGATTTTGTCAGCGCCTTTGAATTATGTAGAAGAATAATGATAGTGATTTGGTGTTTTTTCGTTTGGCTTGTATTCTTCACTAGAGATGCGAAATCCTATAAACGGGACAATAGCAGTAGGGGGGTGGGGGTGGGGTGGATGAATTAAAGGCAGAATTAGAGACGTCATTATTGCCGCAAGCTGTTATCGCTTTTTTTTCATCTTCAGTTCTTTTCAAACACATGTACGCGTGCTCACGTAAAGAAGGCGTGCTCATTTAAGATTCTGCAGCTCGCGTTTGTTGTCCATCTGTGAACGCGTGGAATCAAAATGCTATAGAAATGAGAGTGAAAAGTCTCATGATATCCGAGACAGCCTACGCCAAGCGGCTGCATGTGATTTCTCGCCGTCTTTTTTCGATTCGTGTGGAAACGTCTCGAGCGCATTCGAGTTCGTTTCAAACAGCCTATGATAACTTTAAAAAAAGCAAAAGCGTTGACTTTTCGGGCACAACCTTTTGAATATCTTGAATTATTATCTTTGTAACCCTATAGATGTTATGTAAAATTTTGTGAGTATGTATCACAATGTTTTTATTCCTTGTAAGTTTACTCCCGTGGAAATCCCTGACGGGATTGATGGTATCCTTAAATAAATAAATTAAAATAAATATTTGGCATACTTCTTACTGGTTTCACCGGACCTAAGAGAACAAAGCGAACGCTGTCGATTGTTTCCTTACGTTAAACGAGTGCTGGCATGGGATTGCCCTGGCCTACAGATGATCTTCACGCACCTACCAAAGCGGTAGATGTGTTAGTACATTCTTTGTGCATGCTCGGAACAGGATGTGTGTGATCCACTGATGGTGGATCACACCTTTCGGGGTTCTATCCTTGAGGGAAGGAAAAGGTTGGATCCCCCACAATCCATGTACCACCATGGGTGGGTGGTATGTTTTAAAAACGAAGCTCCTTAGGGTGTGGGTTGTTCTCTCGCAGTATGTTGTAGCAGTCTAGTCAGTTTCATGAATTGCTCATTAGATGGCGTTGTGTATACGTCTTTGGAAATATTATCGCTGGATGACTAACGCCATCAAACGATATCAAGCGAAGAGGACAGATGGTGCGATTATAATTAACAGACAGACATACAGACGTTAAAACATGCGAGTGGCGCCAAGAGTGGTTCGTTTAAAAGTCCACCACTCACAGTGTGCACAGGCATAATTAATGATCATTATCTGCAACAACATCAATAAGCTGTGTAGCGGAGCAGGTGCAGATGTTGCTTTGCGTAATGGGTACTTCGTATATTGGCAAAAGGTAGAATTATGTCACAGTGAGCACTTCGCTATTGTACTTGCCGTAAGAAATTCGGGTTCGTATTAAACAGCCACTTTGCACGCTCACAGATGTTTTTTTTTTTTGCTTGAAGTAAGGTTGTGGTGTCTACTAAAAAGGCTATGCGAATAAGCCCCGATTACGCTGTCGCATTGTATACTCTGGAAGGCGAAGCGCAGACTTCCATAGACCGTACTTTTGAGAACTTATAAGCTGATTGCCCAGATGCCTCGTTTTAATTGCCGTGATAACGGCACTAGCGTTTGACTCAGGGACACCTGAAACCACCCAGAACGGAAACTCATGACTTCTCGCACTGAAAAAGGAAAATACAGCTGAATGGGACAAATAAAATAACAACAACCAAATGACCGGTGGCTCTAATAATTATTTAATTATTTATTTTGCTGGCTCGGCTGTTCTTTTCTCAAGGTCTGATGTATACTTATACCACTTCGTGATGGCTTGACGTGAAGGAAATGCTACCGAGGCGTGAAAGATTGAATGCGTAACAGAACATGAGCTGCACCTAATATCGTCCTGCTTTCTCGAAGCTTCCCAATGCGTAAGTTATGAGCATAGCATGAACGTGAGGACATCAATGAAGTTGACATGCAGTGGTTGTATACAGCGGCCCTGGATTGGACCCGTTCGGGCAAGAGCACCACCTCGCGGCACTCAAGCGCACTTATGCGTAGCATCTTCCAGAGCCGCAGCGTGCCGACGACCCAGACGTCTAGGACCTAGAAAAGGACCAGGAACGACAGGCCGAGGTACATGCCGTTGATGCCACCCAGGTTTCCTAGCTCGGTGATTTCCTGCACACAGTTGGAAAAACACTCGTGAAGCTCCAAAGCTGGTGTTAAGATGGACACTATAAAGTTTGACGCCCTCGAGAGAATCACACCAGGTGATTAATCGAAAAAAAAATAGGTAAATCCGTAGGAAGAACGAGGCACAGACGCGACTTAAAATAAGTCATGGTGCCACACAACCCTCGCAGTTTACGCAGTATAGGACAGGCTAATGGTCTACGATGAGACAAATGAGGCTTTCTGTCTGGCACGATGGAGTTTCACTGTGCCAAATAACAATTTATGAGAACCCAAGCTGTCACTTGGTGGCAGCTAATGACCGATACTTATCTAAATCCGCTCGCATATTGTCACGGGGTCGTGACGTGGACGCAAAGAGCCGAACTTGTGGTCACGCAAAAGGAAAGTCAGATTACAGCAAGACACTGGCACTGATAGCGGCGAGCAGAGCGTCGGCCGTTAAAAGCGGCGCTATTTAGACACGTGCCGTCGAATATCCTAGCGTTATCGCCAGCAGCCACGTAGATTTGAGAATAATCTCTAATGTTCGCGTAGTGAGCGTAATCCAGAAAAAATACAAAAAACGATCTACGACAGCCTCGAAGCTTCTCGAAGATCGTTGGCGCGGTTTGCGCTGAACATAGTGTAACGGGGCGATAACAAAAGTTGAGAAAATGAACGTAGCAATATCATGAATTGTACCCTAAGATATATCTTGGCAGATTCAGCAGTCTCCGGTATGAAATCTGCTACGCCAAAACACATGTCTTAGAAAGGTGCTCGTACTACAACCAATAATTCCAATTAGCTCACGGCGAGATGGGCCAATGACCAGCACAGATAAGAGCTATAGCTGACTAAATCTGAACCCATGAAGTGCTCTGCAGACAAGTTCCGGACGTTTCTACGTGGGAGCCCATGCCCCGAAACGGCAAGTCAGTCATGAAATGTTTTTTTTTTACCGAGAAAAACAGTACGTGCTCTTCAGCATTTGGTTTTTTCCGTGCGTTAGCCCAACAATACAGAATCAATGCTATTTAGCCTTAGCATAACTCGAGTTCTTAGGTTTAGCTTTGAGGCGGCAGAGCACGGTTGGTGCCCGTATCCTGTTTACACCTTGCCAAAGACTGTATGTGGGATTACAATGTTGAATTGTCTGTGGTACTCACATCGTACTTCGGCACCGGCCGCATATGATCGTAGGTCAGCGACTTGAAATACACGACCAGTTGGGCCGGTGGCCTTGGACAACAAAAAGTAAAAGAAAAACAGTAAGGAATACACTTTGTGTTATTGTAGAAGTACTGCTGAGCTTGGAATTTGCACGCTCTTTCTGTTACTCGGTGTTCAGAAATTCTGAGAACTGCCAATTCGGCCTGCCACGGTGTTACTTAACCCCAGTAACTGTCACGTAAATGTGCCTGCCATAACGTGAACTCCGATAATCTTATGATTGCGCTTTAGGTGTCGCAAACATTCAAAAATTTTGACGCACAGAATAATTGCCTTAGTGCTGATAGTTGAAATATCGTCTACTTGCTGAAAGGCGTCAACAGCTGCGTTGCTTGGTTGCGCAGCAGTAAAAATAGTGATAGCATTTACTGAAAACACCAGTACAATTACCTACCACAACTGTTTTAACTACCAAGAAATTCTAGTGACGAGCACAAATGTCAAAATAACGCCGCGTTATTTGCATGCACATGAGTGTATACGCAGACGCGATTGTAAAAAAAAATAGCAATTTAAAAACACTTCCGCGGTTCATCGGCGTCATGAGACAGTTATAGTTTACCATTAGCGTGATAGCGAAGCTTCATTGAATAGCGTTACCGTGCCGCAAACGTTCGTTGCGGACAGCGACCTATAGTTTAGTGGAATAGTGTTTAAATGGTTTACGTGCCCTAGATGGGACTGTGGTGCCACCTAGCAGAGGGTGAATAAGTCAAAGAACAGTGCAAATGAAAAGAAAATGAGAATGTTTGCCTGTGTCACCGCGCGAAGCAATGTTACGAGTTTTTTCAGTAATAATAAAAGTAAATAAATATGAACCACGCACAAACCGAAAAATATTTACATTGCCGATTTCTTTAGATTGACCTCCTAATTAAGCCTAGGGACGTTCGAAATGGGAAGCTATCTAAAGAACTTATCCGTAATACTTGGTCATCGAAGCTAACTGAAGGCAAGCAAATTCATTTTAAACAGTCGCTTGCTGCGGCGAAATGAATCTTTCAACAGCTACGACAAAATAACTTCGAAGCGGGCTTGCAAAACCACCG